TTTATAAGTGTAATTTTAATAATAATAAATATAATAATAATAAATACATTAATAATAACATAATAAAAAACATATTAAATTTATATTATACATAATTCTACATATTCCACCTGCTTACAATAAATTTGCAAGGCAAAAATGCTCTTGTATGACGTATGAATCGTTAGGGGTGACAGACTATCATACACAACGCGTATGCGAGAGCTGTTCACCAAAATTTTGGTGAGCACGCCAACACGTTGGTAAAGGTGGCAGACTATCATACCTGTGTGTCATACGACGTTTTTCTCTCTCGTATGACATACCAGTATGATAGTCTGTACCGCACTTAAGTAAGATAAGAGGAGCACTTAATTTTGAATATATCAAAACAAACATAGACTTACTTGGTCTCTCAAGCCTTGTTCCATACTGAATATATATTACAATTCTGCTGTTACAATGGTTCAATATGAATAGTCTAATAAAGTATTGATTAATCATGACTTTACAGTTTATAAACAAAAGTTTATAACTTTTCAAAATTTCTAATTTAAAAATATTTTAAATAAATATTAACTTTTACTCCCTCTCACATACTCAACAGGCACCATTTCGCAATATGCATTTCCATTCTGCAGTGCTCCTGTAATGGCTGTGCATTAAATTATGTGGGAAAAGTTTATGTGGAAATTTTATACCCATTGTGCAGGCGCACACATACAAATACACATCCAACATAATCGATGTGGAATTAGAGAATTGATAAAGGAAAACTTACGGAAAACATTTCACTAAAAGCTACAATATTGCAACCTCAAACTTTTCAATATTCCAACATCACTACTCCACCAACACCAGCATCAACACTACTAACAGCAGCAATAGCAGCAGCAATGGCAGTAGCAGCGGTTGCAGCTGCGTCTACTTTTTGGAAATGCACTATTTTTAAATTTCACATTAATTTTATATAAAGTGCAGTGCTTTACATGTACAGATGTGTGTGTGTATGTGTGCGCTACCTCACATACTTATGTATATGTTTAAATGCAAATTTTTGGACTTTTTTATTTTCGAGATTTTAAAGCACATGATTTATGCAAATTGAAACTGACCTTAGACCAGAACCGTTGAAGCAACTGCTGCATTGTTGCTGCATTAGTGCTTTTCCACAAATAGAAACAAGCACTCATACGCACTGAGGGCCTTACATACGCTTTGCTGGTAATGCAATTTTCGTTCGTTCCCTTCTACAATATTTTCGACAGTATTTTCGTAGCAAAGTTGATGCATTCTACTATGAAGGCATAGCTTATGTAGCTACCCCTGTCACTCGGCTCTGTGCTATCACAAATGTTTTTATATATTTTTATATAATTTTTATTTTTCAAATTTACCAACTAATGTAATGGCAGACCAGTGGGGTTGTTGTTTTTTTTGGTGTAAATTGGAAACTAACTTGAATGGTTGCATATTTTAAATGTTCACAATTTCACAAAGTAACACACACACACACACACACCAACACGAACACAAACACATACACAAACAAGAAAATGAGTAAGTGAAATAATTTTCGTGTGGATTTTTATATGCACGCATGCACTTGCTTGTATGCCAGGCCTTCCGCTTGTAATGCATGACTAATGACTTCTTGTTGGTGTAATTGTATTTGTTTTAGATTTAAATATATATGTGTGCATTTCTATGTGTATGTGTGCATTTAAAACATTTTAATTTTTATTAATGGTTTTTGTAATTCGAAAAGTCATTTTTCATATGAAAAATTTGCTTAAATTACATTTGGTATTTTCATTTGACGTTAATAATTGGAATAAAATTGAACTAAATTAATTCCAAAGTCATTGCTAATGTTTCAAAATAGAGTAAGTAAAAAAGTTCACAAAATAAAATATAAATACAAGAGTAATTACAAATACATATTCACACCGTGTAGTGTAAGTCGCCTTTCCCAGGTAACCTTAAAGGTATCGCAATGGGTAGTCGATGTCTCCAACAGGAAGTGGTGGCAGTTATATCATATCATCATCATCAACATCCGTGACAATACAGTCCATGTTGGACCTAAGCCTGTTTAACAACAGTTTTCCATTTTTCTCTGGTTTTTGTTTTTCTTTTCCAATTTCTTATATTCATTACTTCTAAGTCCTGCCACACACTGTCTTTCCATCGCTTTCTTGGTCTTATTTCTAAATCCTGCTACACACTGTCTTTCCATCGCTTTCTAGACTCAGTAGGGTTTATTGCAAATTTAAATTTTATATTATTATTAAAAAGAATATCTATTGTGCCCCTGTTTCTCCTAGTCCAATTTCTTTAATTAAATACAGTATAGAGCCTATCTTTCCTAGTCTTCAATCCTTAAATCCATGAAATACCCTCCTAGATATTTCTTCCGCTTGTACATCACTGTCCGACACTCCCCAAGCACATGTTATTCAGTTTCTCTCTCTTCTCTACAGTATCAGCAGTCTGAGTTGTATTGAACTCCTTACTTCGATAAGTGAGTACTCAATCTATAGTCACTGGTCAGTAATCCCGTAATAATTCTTACGTTATTTTTTGATTGTGCTATGCAATCTTTGAAGCGTAGGTCTTTTAAAGTATTTTAGATTGTGAAAGTTTTGGTTGCCTTTCCCAATAGAGTTCTATCCATCTTTTTTCACTGCGCCGTTCATAAGAATGGATAGAGTTCCTTTGTCTATACCACAGAATGGTACGGGGAATATCATTCTTGAGATCGCTTTTCCTCTTGCAAGTTTGTCTGCCATAAATTTTATAACTTTTAACTAATAATATATACAAATTAAGATAAATAATGTTATATATTGGTTTTGATGTTCTACTGGACTGGTTTTTGCTCTTGAAAATTTGTGATGTGATTAAAATTACCGTTTCTTGATTATCGTAATTCTATGATATTGACCCCAGTGATCTCTATCTTATTTCCCTGTCGATGTAAGACGATACTCCCCTCGTAAATCTTGTTGTTGGAAGATGTCTTGTTGCTTTGCTTAGATTTTAGGCAATCTAAGCTGGATATGGCGCACAATAGATCTTTTAGGTCGGGTGCACAAATAGCCTATTTTA